ACTTTTCTTACTGCTCTTTTCATAGAGCGTTCAGGTTTTACACTACGTCCTGTAGCAGGTCTTCTGTCACCCAGAGATTTTCTTGCKGGATTGGCRTTCCGTGTGTTTCATAGCACRCAGTATATACGACATGGATCGAAACCTCTTTACACCCCAGAACCGTGAGTAGACGAAGGATTCTCCCAGGTTTAAACCAGGCATAAGAACGTATAATGATTTTTTTTAAGCGTGGATTTCACTAGCGCATAAGCATAGGCATAAGCACGAAGCACGAGAGTCATATGCGCCAGTGAGATCGGGCTCGACATAAGCATAAGCATGAGCACAAGAAAGACGAGCAAGGCCTTATCTTCTTGTGCTTATCTCATGCTTATGAACTCAGTGAGAACGGGACTGCATAGGCATAAGCATAGCCTGGTACCGAAATAATGCACTCGTGCGCATGCTCAATGTCTTATGCTTATGTCGAGCCCGTTCTCACTGGCACATATGATTCTCATGCTCGTGCTTATGCTATGCTTATGCGCTAGTGAAATCCACGCTTTAGAGTGCACGCCACATAAGTGTGAAACAATTCTTAACTAATTGGCGCCTAATAAGATTTAGTTATCAACTAACTAAGAATTCAGTGAGACAATTTCCTTTTCTGGCATTGTGTTCATGCCCCAGTGAATTCTTAGTTAGTTGATAACTAAATCTTATGAAATGTTGTTAGTTAAGAATTGTTTCTCGCTTTTTTGGCGTGCACTCTAACTCTTCTTTTCTTTTGTTTTCTTTTCTTTTACTGAAGTGATGTTGTACATGAGCTTGTTGGCCATGTGCCTTTACTTGCTGATCCAGAGTTTGCTGAGTTTTCACAGGTAAAGTGATCACTTATACCATTTGATTGGGTTCAAGGGAGAAATTAAAAAATTATCTATGAATCAAGCGATCCCTAGGAAGGCCCTCACAAAAGAAAACGATAGTTTCAGAGTGTTATATCGATTTTTAGTCGCACTAATCTTTCACGTAGAAATAAAAACAGCTATAATTCCTTACTTTTCTGTTTTCCTCAACACTATGTAGTGGTAAAACATTTGTTTCACGGATTTGGTACGCCCACTCCATATCAGTCAGTATCACATACTAAATACTTTTAGTAATAATTCCTTTTCATCTCCATTATCCAATGGGCGCAATATACAGTACAGTACATTTTTTTTTTCTTTGCGGATTTATTAAGAAAACTCTAAGCAAATTGAATTATTTGACAATCGTATTTTAGGAGATCGGCCTTGCTTCACTTGGAGCACCAGATGACTGGATTGACAAATTGTCAACTGTAAGTATGCACACTTAAATTAAAGGGATATATTTCAGCGCGGCATCCTTTCATGATAAAAGCTTGATCGTTGCCGGTATTTTCCAAAGATATCTCCACAATATTCATTAATTTTCTTAGCCCAAAAACGCTCCGCCGCCCCTGCCTTGGGAACTGATTGTGAATGGATATTTGAAGTCACCTCTTTTCCATATATGAAAAACACGAATGCATTGAACGCTCAGGGATCATGGCACTTCTCATTTCATCTTATCAATGTACAATTTAGTAGTTTTTAGATTACTTTAAATAGCCCATATTTGCATTTGGTGGTGATGGTTCTTTACAATCAGCTTCATTTCAAATATCTAGCTGGGTTAAAGGCAAAATCGCATATTATTGTGTCAGGGACCGCAAGTGCTAGGCTTCGTGTCGAGTTTATCAATCCATCCCAATGCAAGAGTTTAATTGAAATATTGAGTAATGGTTCATTTGCTTTTTTTCAGCTTTACTGGTTTACCGTGGAGTTTGGACTCTGCAAAGAGGGGTCTGAAGTAAAAGCATATGGCGCGGGCTTGCTGTCATCGTTTGGTGAGCTCGAGGTTTGTATCATCTGTGTTGCTACAGCCCAAGCTCCCTAGGATCAGCTAGGAGCCCCTGGCTACACATTTTACTGTTATTTCATGGTTACACGCCACGCACTGCTTAAGGCTGATTTACACGGTACGATTTGTCGCGCGCGACTTGTAGTATACGATTTTCCTACTACAAGTCGTAGGATTTTAAACCGTGGTTCAAAATCCTACTACAAGTCGTAGGTTGCGTACGACTGTTGTAGACAAGTCGAAGGGGCATTTACACTGCGCGATTCAAGTCGTATTCTACAAATTGCACGAGACAATCGTGCCGTGTAAATCAGCCTTTAGTAGGAGCTTTCATTTCATCGCTGAAAATGACTGTTTGGTTAGTAGCCATAGGTGAAAAGAAACCATTACAAAACGAAACAAAAGAAAAGATACATTAGAAGTGTGATACCAATGAAGTTAACTATTAGTCTCTAGTGTGCATAAATATATACAGATCAGCATCTCACTTGTTTCCAATAGAGAATCT